GAACTACCCTTGATTGATATGAAACTCGTCCGTGACGCACGTAGAGGAAGGTCGTGGGTTCGAGTTGAGTCTGCGAGTGCCTATGGCTCAACATGGGCTTTTGTTGGTTTCATCGAACGCCCAATTTCCATTTCGGGTAACCTCGTTGGTGGTTTGGATTGGTGGTTTGATTTGGAAAGCAGGCAAGCAAACAAGCAAGCAACCAACCAAGCAACCAAGCAACCAAGTCTTGGTCCCCAGCCATCCCCTTAGGTTTCTGGCCTTTGTAGTGTTTAGTGGGGCATGTCCACTAAAAGAAACACGTTTAGCTGGGGATCTGAACGCAGTCCAGAAGTATAGCTGAGTCGCCACCAACCTGAAAACCCTTCAGCGAGGTGCGGGAGAAGCAGTTGCCCGCGCTCACCGAGAAGCTGGTGGTGAAGCTGCGGAAGGCGGAGCAGGAGAGGCGGAGCCTCGCCGCTTTCATCGAAGGCCCTGGTTGGTATATGGCTGTGGCTCAAAATGAGTCAGGAGGGGCAAACCGCGGGTTTTGGTCCATTCCACTTACCAGGGCAACCCATTTTGCGACCGGTTTTTTGAGCCACAGCCATATTGGATTGGTGGTCGATTGGTAAGGCCCTGTTTGGATTGATGTCATCGACCCCGTTCCGTGGAAATACAGGCCTTTCCTTCCATAGGTGGCGTTGCTTCGGGAGAATATACCCGTCAACATGTTTGTGGTGGTAGTTTCCCATGTAACCCTCATCAAACATACCGCCAAAAATGGGGGGGGGTCCGGGACCACCGGAGCTCTTGTTGTGGGGTCCTTAAATCTGGAAAGCATTTTTTGAGAGGCGCTTTTTGTGGATTTCACGGATTTTTAGTTTTGGGTTGAGACCAGGAGCTCTTTTTCACCTTCCCCCTATTTGGTATATTGGAACCCGGTGGTTTAGCGGTGGGGTAGTTTCCCATGTAACCCTCATCAAGCATCCAAACCACCAAGTAGGGGGGAAGCTGAGTTTTTGTGGGATCCTCGAATCCAGAAACACTTCTTTTTTGAAGAGGCGGTTTTGTGGATTTCACCGATTGTTCTTCCCCCGGGTGGTCCTTTTTGACTAATGTTGTGTACTCTTTTAGAATACGACAGTGGATCCACAAAAGCCACACTAGAGATTCTAGTGCTACCTTCCCCATTCTTTCCAGAGATCCGAATCTTTCTAGAACACCTCCGGGAACCCAGGGAGAACGGATCCGGTTTTGGAAAAGAACGATGGTTGGAAAGAATGGAAATGGAAATCCTACCCCCCCCTCCCCTTTCACCAAACCCCACCCCCACCAACCCCTCCCACCCCCACCAACCCCAAAGAGAGTTTGGGATCTGGTAGCAGACGCTTCGTATGCGTTTTTTCAGCTGTGGGCGGGTCTACTTGACTGCTACTGGGTTGGATCTTTAGACTTTAACTTTTTGGGAAATCAAGTTGCCCAAAAAGCTATTCACTTTTTTGCGGGGGTCAACAGCAACCAAGTAGGGGATTGATCAATATGGCGCATATGCCATACCTTGAGTATCCAGTGAACATGGAACCAGCCATGTCCCTGACTTCCATTTGCTTAAGACTATGTGTTTTTTTCCCCTCTTGGTTTTAAAGGGAGTCTATCACTACTGGACATATTCGGTTTTTTTTCCAAGGGTCTTAGCCAAATGGAAGCTGAGAAACGGAGCATCTGGTCTTCCTGAGGTTCCATGGGGTGAGATCCGCCAAGGCTCAGCTTCCGGGGGCCCACGATCGGCAAATGGATCCTTATTTGGGGGAAGTTTTATATAACCCCCCCTAAGCTGCTTAGCTCGTTGAAAAAGAAAGTCGGAGAATTTTTGGGATTCTTCGGACTTTCCGATTTATGGTAAATTCTAGGGCAGTTGAACCCACAAGTAGTCTCAGTAAACCCATCCAGCGAGGCTGAATCTCGAAGCCGAGGGCCGATTTCCCAGGGAAGGCCTGGGCTGTGAGCTCCGCTGTGCTGAAGAAATTCGGGCCTTTTGGACGTCGCCGGAAGGGTTTAGGCCCTACGGCCTTGATAGAATGCGTCGGTGCCCCGTTTTTTGTTTTGTTTGTTTTTTCTTCAAAAGAAAACGGCGAAGTGTCCAACAAAGTTCGACAGGGTACCCTGGTTTTAGAAAAAAAACACGTCGAAGCAACCAACAACAGGAGATTCAAACGGGAAGTCTTTGGTTTTGGTCGGTGGTTGGCCAATGGAGAAATCTCCGTAGCTGAATGCTTGAACAAGGTGCTCCTTGTTCACGTGCGATTGTTTTCTTGCTTGCTTGCTTGCTTTCTTGCTTACGTCTTTCTCTCTTTCTCTCTTTCTCTCTTTCTCTCTTTCTCTCTTTCTCTCTTTCTCTCTTTCTCTCCTCTTTCTCTCTTTCTCTCTTTCTCTCTTTCTCTGTTTCTCTGTTTCTCTTTCTTTATTTCTTTCTTTCTTTCTTTCTTTCTTTCTTTCTTTCTTTCTGTCTGTCTGTCTGTCTGTCTGTCTGTCTGTTTCTCTGTCTGTTTGTCTGTTTGCTTCTTGGTTTCTTTGTCTCTGCTTGCTTCTTCTGAGCCTAGCGAGATCTGTACGGAAATATCCTTACTCTTGCCGCTGTGGTCCAATCACGTGACTGCGTGTTGGTGTTTCTGTTTGCTAAACCCAAAGGCCCAAGGAACAACATGGTTGTTGTTGGGAAACATTTTTCATTTTGGCTTCTTGTAGTTTAGTGGGAAATCCCCACTTATCTGCTAAACTCTGATTTTTTTGGCTCCCCTTCCAACGTCAACCAAGACCGCGCGACCGCGCCCCCCACATTCCGCAAGGAGAAGTTGGCCGAGGCCGCCGCCGCGCTCGCGCCGGTGCCCGCGCCGCCGCCGGAGCAGCCCGCGCCGAAGCTTCGGCCGGAGAATTTCAGCACGGCTTGGGCCCAAAACGGAAAGCACGGGGCCTGGCATCAAAGGCTGAATGTATACGTCCATATATAAACCTCTAGTTTTATGGTCACACCAAGATGGCCGTGGATTCATCTATGGACATCTAGGTCCCCCAGCTAGGTGCCCTTTGTCACCCAACTTTTTGGGTTGGGAGGGTTCTCCTACTGAAATCGACGACAGAAAAAAAGGGTACCCTTATTCTAACCTGTCTACTGGAGGACCTAGGGTCCCTATACTCCCCTTGGTGTTTTTTCTTACATCACCTTTTTGGCCCATGAAAGGTGAGTATCCCTTGGTGGGGGAAATGCAGGGAGCCCTGAATAAGCCCTTCTTCAGCCCTGAATAACGGTCTTATATAGGGCCTCTTTCCTCTCTCCCCCCCCATGAAATTCGGAGCCTACCAAAATGCCCGCGACGGCCCTTCCTTTTGATTTCCCGACCAAAACCAATCAGAAGGGGTCCCGCAGTTTGCCTTGCCATCCTCAGAAGGGGTCCCCTGGAAAAAGGGCGCACATTCAAAAAAATTCTACAGACCGTTGGCACCCTGGAGCCCCCAAAGCACCGCTTGTTTGTGGTCAAAAGGCTTTGCCCTAAAAAAAGTGGTCATGCGGCCAATTACGTTTTTTTTTTTTTTTTTTTTCTCTCCAGTGTTTTATCGACACGTTTTTGTTTGCAAATGACCGAACAAAAACAACCTTAGGCGCAAACACGTGCCAAATACGCTTTTTGACCAAACAACAGTGCACCATTTGGTGTGGCATCCCACATTTTTGGTTTGAAGCTGGTTTTTTTCGGGCAGTTTTGATCTAAACTCCAACTCTCATTTCTTGTGGTCAGGAGTTTAACCTGCTTGGCAATACCCACAAAGAACGAGTCGAACCCCCCGTTTTTGGGATTCCGCGGTATCATGAGCTGCAGGGATTCTTTTGATTTAGGAGCCATTTCTCCTGAAATAAGCGTGGTGTATCTTGGTTTTGTTAAAGCACCTGAGCCTGGGGACGCTCAAAAACACAGCTGGATTCTTAGTAGCTCGTTTCTGTGGTTGGGCCTATGATTGGGCCGGCCGTTCACAGTGAGCTGCAACGATGTGTGGCTTGCCCCCGTCGGATGAGAACCATCCGCAAATGCATGTCTTCAATGTATTTATTCGGGTGACTTGTTAGCTGTGCGCGAGTGGCAAACCTGCATCGCGAAAGGCCGGCGATTGGGCTGCGATTGTGGTAACATCTACACGTTTGCTTCTAAGATGGGAAGAAGTTACCAAGTTTGCTCCGCAATTGGCCCCGTTTTGGTCGGGATTCGAGCGCGAAAGGCCGGCGATTGGAGGCTTTTCAGGAAGGTTAATATTGGATAACCCCCAGATGTGTTGGCAACCATGTTTACGGAAAAGATTTGTCTGTGATACCAAAACAATCCAAAGTCCAAAGTGACAAAGCAGGCAGCGGAATTGCCCGTGGTATTACAAGGACTTTCCAGAATGGCCCGAATTCGTTGCCAATTGGCTCCCTTTTCGGACTCCTGTGAATGCGGGGAAAAAGGAGGGGAAAAAGGGCAGGTTCACCAGCGAGGGTGTTTATCTCGTGATGAGGCTAGCCAGGTTGGGCATCGTTTTGGGAAAAAATCCAGTTGGCAAGGACACCTTCAGGAATCAATCCCACATGATGGTGCTTGAAGACTGACTAAGGCATGTTCAAAGAGTTGGTTGGCGCAAGCCTTCACTTGCCCAAAGCGGATCGACCGGATCTGAGCTTTTTGGGTTTCTTGGTTTGGTCCTTTGGTCAAGGCTGCAAACGATTGACCTTGTACTTCCAGGTCCTTGGGGCGGAGTTGATGCAAAACTTGGGTCAATCAGATGTGGTCGGATCTTCGTCCAGGAGACTCCTGTGCCAGGTTTGATTTGCTTGGCGAAGCCAGCCATCCAGTGGTAGTTTCCATTTAACCCACTAAAAGGTAAACTTTTAGCGGGGGATCTGCGGGCAGCCCCGAAAACTCTGAATCCCCCCCCCTTCACGGCTCGCATAGCTAAGGAAGGAGAAGGAGCCAGAGCCGACGGCGCCGGTCATGAAGGCACATGGGTATTAGCTGAAATTGGTGGATCCCCAAGCTTGGTGGTTCCCAGCCATCCGGTTCCTTAGGTTTTTAGCTTTTTCGGGTTTAGTGGTAGTTTGCGCTAAACCACTAGCAGCGAGACTTTTTGCAGAGGACCAGGGAACACCAGAGAAAGATGGTGGCTTTGGTTTGCCTTGAAACCAACCGGTAGAACAGGGGGGCCGGGACTGCTTAAGTTTGTCGCCTTTGGCTTCTCGTTGCAATCACTCCAAAAGCGGTTTCCTCAAAAATCCCCACACCCACAACCAAACTGAAAGCAGTCTCCAAAAGTTCTAAACTGCCTTATTATCGAGCTCACCTGCAAGGGCTCGATATCCATGTCGGTTTCAACTCCAAAAGGACGATCCAATTTTCCTGGGGGGTTGATTCATTTGGGAGTTGATCAAAAGGGTCCTTTACGGATGGACCATTGGGGGCAACCCAACGGATGAGCCTGTTCCATGGGAACAGTTGGCCATGAAGACTGGGGGCCTTGGAAGATTGATCAAGCCTGTGCCAAAGAACCACCTTGCCTTCCCCCAGTGCCCTTTTACCCTTTCGGAGGGGGACAGAAAAAAATCGGGTACCCTTATTCCAACCTCGCATAACTGGAGGACCTAGTTGGCCTCCCCCCCCCTGGCCTACTTGGCCTTACTCATGGTTCCGTGCTTCCGAGGCCATCCCTCTGGTCCCGGGCGTGCTGGGGCAAGGCTTGGTCCCCGCTCAGGCAGCTTGGCAATCGAAAGGCTTGGCGCGGGCGAAGCGGGCGAAGCGGGCGAAGCGGTCCGGGTGAATTACGACGACAAAAACACGACCGAATTCACCCCAAATGGTGGGTTTATGTGGGCAATAGCCCAACCACCTTAAGTTTCAGGTTGGTGAAAATGTTAGAATTCACCTAGAATTGGGTGTCTGCATCGGTGCCCTTTTTTTGTTGTTTTGATCGGATTTTTCAAGGGCGATGCCTGGTTTACCTGGCGGTTTATCATCTACCAGGGAAACCCATCTATTTGCCCTAAAAGGACACCTATGGGTGTCTGTGTTTTTGAAGGCCTTTCAGCTTAAAACGCAGGGGCTTCCTTGTTTTCAGGCCAAACAGCAACATGAAAGCCAGGAAGCAACCCCCGTCGTCTCGGTTCCGGCCGTGTCTTTGTTGACCCCCGTGCTTTCGGTTTTTCAGTTTTTTTTCTTCTCGGGCGAATCAAACAGTTCATTTGCGAAGGGCGGAGGGCACGATTTCCCCGCGCCCAGGTCAACAGTTGGTCTGCGTGTGATCGAAGCTCGAATTTCAACTTCTCAATGCGCGCGATTTTCAGAGACTCCAAGGTTCCCTACGATCAATATCCCAATGGTCTGCACAGGCACCATCGCACCATCATCATTCTCATCATCCTCATTTCCAGTATATTTTTCTCATCAGCAACAGCATCATCAGCATGGTCATCGCTAGCGTTCTAGTTGTTGCCTACCATCATCATCACCACCATCATCACCATCATCACCATCATCACCATCATCACCATCATCACCATCATCACCATCATCATCACCATCACCATCACCATCACCATCACCATCATCATCACCATCATCACCATCATCACCATCATCACCATCATCATCACCATCACCATCACCATCACCATCACCATCACCATCACCATCAGCATCACCATCATGATCATCATCATGAGTTCTGAATGAGTCTCCCATCAACTTCAGAAACAACCTTCCAAACTCGATTGCCCTTTCCCCTTCAATTTGCTCTGAACCTGAAAGAAAACAAGGACCGGCAGGAAGCTGAATGAGGGGTCCTTTTGTTGGGCCAAATTCAGGTTACCTTTCATTGGTTTGGGTGAATTATGACAACCTCACACGACCTCACCCCAAATGGTGGTTTATGTGGGAATAGCCCCCCAACCACCTTATTTCAGATTGGTGAAGTATTATAATTCACCCAGATTGGTGGTTCGGACTTTGGGACTTTTTTTAGTTTTGACTGTTTGAGAGGGTCGGTTGGAAACTCCCTCCAAGCCAATCCAAACCGACAGATGGGAGCAACGCTTGCGCCCAGGCAACGATGGCCAACCCGCCAGAAGTTGCCGGCCGTGTTTTCGTGTCGTTGTAAGCACGGGAGCCACAGTCAAAGTATAGGGGTGCTTTGAGGGAACCATTTTGAGACCTTTTCCGTTCGGGAGCTTCCAAGCGAGTCTGGGGGAGGGTAGCCTTCTAGATCTTTTGGACAAATTCTGGGACCTCCCATTGAGTCCGCCAAAGCGGGGGATTGCCTTCGACTGGAGGGAAGTCATAGGTTTTCGTTTTGAGTGTACCCCTTTGTGGGTTTTTTAGCTTGCGAGCCAAAGGCCAAACGGAGCCATAAAACCGCCCCTCAAAAGAGGCCGGCCTAGGTCTGTGAAGTTCCAGGAACCTTTGTGTTTTCTCCCAAGCAAGATAAGTCACGTGTTTGCAGCGCCCGTTTCAACTGTCAAGGTGACTGGTGGTTTGGATCTGTTTGGAGATTTTTTCACCTCAAAATTTCTTCTTTCCAAAATATATGGCAAACGATTCCTATCTTCTACCAAAATATATGGCGAACAATTTTCCTATCCAAACCACCAATCCAAACCAATTGGCAGACAACTGAGTCAATTGGACATGTGCCAAAACTTCAAACGGCAATGGTCATGACTGGTTTCTTTTGAGACCCTCCCCTTCCTCCCCACGGAAATGGCTATGACTTTGAGTTAGGGCCCTCTGTCCAACATGGTCCAACCAAGTAGTACTCACATCCACATGGGTCAGAAGGGATCTCCAAACATCATCCTTTGAGTGTCATTTATCAAACCTGTCCATTGGAGGTTTGCATTTGCGGCCGGCGGCAAGCGTATCGGGGGTTACGGCCTAGAATTACATCCACACATGAAAGTCTAAGGGCTCTAAATGTGAAACCTCATTGGTGGCATCCCTAAACCAGGCCGGTTTTCTTCTTGGTTTTCCCTTAAACACCCACCTCACCAAGGGCTCAAGAAAAAAAAGAAAGACGCGCCAGCGACCTATTTCCGGGGCAACGCAACGGCCAGGTCACCCGAGCAATCGAGTCCTTACAGACGGCGGCCAGAGCCTCAGATTCCCAGTTGGCCATTTGGGTCAAATCCGTTTTGGGATTGATCCCATTTTGGTTGGGATCGGCGACTTCACCACCCATTGTAGGCTTCCTATTTTGGAGGGGATGGATCCCATTTTGGTTGGGAGTGGTGACTTCACCACCCATTTTAGGCTTCCTATGTTGGAGGGGATTGATCCCATTTTGGTTGGGATCGGTGACTTCACCACCCATTTTAGGACTTCCTATTTTGGAGGGGATTGATCCCATTTTGGTTGGGAGCGGTGACTTCACCACCCATGTTAGGACTTCCTATTTTGGAGGGGAGTGATCCCAGTTTGGTTGGGATCGGTCACTTCACCACCCATTGTAGGCTTCCTATTTTGAGGGGATTGATCCCATTTTGGTTGGGATCGGTGACTTCACCACCCATTGTAGGCTTCCTATTTTGGAGGGGATTGATCCCATTTTGGTTGGGAGGGGTGACTTCACCACCCATTTTAGGCTTCCTATTTTGGAGGGGATTGATCCCATTTTGGTTGGGATCGGTGACTTCACCACCCATTTTAGGACTTCCTATTTTGTAGGGGATTGATCCCATTTTGGTTGGGATCGGTGACTTCACCACCCATTGTAGGCTTCCTATTTTGGAGGGGATGCCATTTTGGTTGGGAGTGGTGACTTCACCACCCATTTTAGGCTTCCTATTTTGGAGGGGATTGATCCCATTTTGGTTGGGATCGGTGACTTCACCACCCATTTTAGGACTTCCTATTTTGGAGGGGATTGATCCCATTTTGGTTGGGATCGGTGACTTCACCACGCATTTTATGACTTCCTATTTTGGAGAGGATTGATCCCATTTTGGTTGGAATCGGTGACTTCACCACCCATTTTAGGCTTCCTATTTTGGAGGGGATTGATCCCATTTTGGTTGGAATCGGTGACTTCACCACCCATTGTAGGCTTCCTGTTTTTGAGGGAATGGATCCCATTTTGGTTGGGATCGGTGACTTCACCACCCATTTTATGACTTCCTATTTTGGAGAGGATTGATCCCATTTTGGTTGGAATCGGTGACTTCACCACCCATTGTAGGCTTCCTATTTTGGAGGGGATTGATCCCATTTTGGTTGGGAGTGGTGACTTTACCACCCATTTTAGGCTTCCTATGTTGGAGGGGATTGATCCCATTTTGGTTGGGATCGGTGACTTCACCACCCATTTTAGGACTTCCTATTTTGGAGGGGGTTGGGATGTTCACTGGGGGTACGATTGGGATTTTAACCCATGGCCATCTTGGAAGTGCGGAATCCCATTTTGGGGGGGGAGCACAAGGGGGGGGCCATCCAGGGGGGAGGGGGGGGGGAAAGCACAGGGTTACGTCGGGGGGAAAAAGCGGGGGAAGGGGGAGGGGTAGTTAAGTAGTTGAGAGTTTCTGGGCTTCCTTTGGGTTCCTTAGGCCTTACAAATCCACCCCCCCCCCGTTGATTCCCTAATGGGGTCTCTCGAAATGGATGTGGTCAGGATGTTGGACCCGCCCCAAAATGGCTTGGGGCTCCCTTGAATCTAACGGGGGGTACGCATCCCATTTTGAGACCCACGTTAGAAGTCTGGGAATTTGCCGTTCGAACATCGACTTCTATTCAAATCTCGAAAAACATTGCTACTATCGAAAGCCATTGGCGGGTGGCGTGGCATTTGCACGCACCCGGGCAACTTGCCGCTGGGCTAATGGCCATTTGTCGATTTGTTATTGGCCTGGAATCCTATTGGCCCTTACCCATTGGCTTAAGATGGCTTCAGGGAAAGTCAGACAAGGATCGTATGTACCGCCAGGCATGATGTTAGGTCCTACTGGCTTGATACAGATTGCGGCCAGGCCTCAGTATGAATGTGTGGGGAAAGATATAAACCTGGAGCAATCAGCCTAGAACCGAACGCCAGCTTAGAGAGAGGGCCTTGCCTCGGTCCCCATTTTCGGCTTTACCTTCTTGGTTTTGCGCCTGGGTTCGCAGATTCGTGGGTTTCTCCCCCTTTGCGCTTGCAAGCTGCCATTTGCAGAATAATATTGTGGTTTCCCTTGTTGGCTTCAAGGGAATCTATCACTGCTGGACATATTTTTGTGTTTTCCAGGCGGATTAAGCAAATGGAAGCAAGGTAATAGAACTGGGAGGTTGAGGCCAACACGTGTTTTGTCTCGATTCCCTTGACATGGGGGCTGATCCAAGGCTCGGTTACATGGGATGACTGTCAGGGAAACCAATGACCTTTTTTGCCTGTCGCCTGTTGACTTGCAAGACTTACAAGGCGGGGAGACTCAATCTTGCGTGGATAGTGTTGTGGGCCTGGCTATCCCTGTTTCGGCATCGGAATCCTCAATCAATGACCTTTTCAGCCGGCTGGGGAGCCCAAATAAGCCCTTATTAAGCCCTTAATAAGCCTTAATAAGCCTTAATCAGGCCTTAATCAGGCCTTATTTAGTGCTTATTTGGGCTCCCTCTCCTCCCTCCCCCCCCAGCCCCATGATGGTCTGTTTTGGGCCGAACGGATTTTGATCACCCCCCAGATTCATTTGGGCTCGACCCCACTTGGACCAGCAGGTTCCCACTAAAGTCGGTTTGGCAAAGCGCCGGAACCGAGCCGGGGGCGCCCTAGGTTTCAAGCCAGAGGCAAACTGGTGAAGCTTCCCCATGGATCCTCGGGAGTTGTCAGTAGATCAGTGTGGTTGAAGAAAGGGCGGGTTCCATTTGGTTCATTGCCGGGGACTTGGCCTCCATTTTGGGGTACATGTTCCCTTTCAGCCAGCAACAAGTTCACTTCTGCTTCCAGTTGGCTGAGTCTGGCCCAGGCGAAACCGGGGGCTGGCACTTCTCACTTGGCAGAGGAGAAGGCTGGGCCATGTTGACATCAACAGGCCCACGCATTTGGCCGATGCTAAAGGTTTTCGACATTTCCCCTTTCGCAAATGTCACCTGTGAACTGAGCTTCCTTTGAGGTCCAGTTGCTTCTGGTCCTTCCTTTTTGGTTGGAAACTCATCTGCTCGGAGAATAGGGTTGCTGCCAAACAACGGTTCCATTCCCCCCTAGCCCCCTTTGAACCCCCCGCCCCACCCCACCCCGACTTTGGCCCAAGCCTGACGGCCTTTTCGGGCACGTGCTTCGAAGAGGGCGTCTCCCGGAAACCCTTTGGTGCGCCCCTTTGGTTCGGAGCGCCCGAGGGTGAAGTGGGGCTTTTGGGTGGCTCTTTGTTATGGCTTTTGCTGTTTGAACATTGATTGGTTTCCCGTGACCAGGTGACAATGAAGCAAATTGGATTTGGGTGCAGAGACAGGTAAGATCGGTTTCCCGTGACCAGGTGACAACAAAGCAGTTTGATTTGGTGTGATAACTAATTTACCAACCCAGAGACTGCGCAGCCCAGGTAAGACACGGGGTCGACTGCCTTCACCACTGCCAGCAGAAACTTTAGTGCAAGGATTCTTGTTTGGAGATCCTCCACTTCGGCTTGAGTCGTTTTCCGACTTGTGCAGATTCCCGAAGCATCGAGCCTGATCATCACATCGCAGCTTCAGAATGACGGCTTGTGCAGTGATTCCATTCACTCAGTTGTTCAGTGGCACCCTTTTTCCGTTTTTTTGGTGGCTGCCCCACTAAAAATGGTCTTCCCCAAAAAGGGTTCCCTTTTTTTCCAGGGTCACTGAACACTTGAGTTCATTGTTGCTGACGGACGACTTGCACCCTTTCCCCAGCTCCCAGCGGGTGGTGAGTCTGGGCCATCCTGGTTTGGACCGCTCGCTGCGGCATTCAATACCCTAGCCCAAGACGCGAAAGATGCTGTTTGGCCCTTGAGCCCAGACCTGGATGAAATCAGGTGGGGGGGGGGTGGCATAGCCTGGGGATTTGTTCCCGGCATCAGGTGGGTTCCATGGCAAGCGATGTGGACAGGGATGACAGTTGTTTCAACACTAGCATCGCCTCTCTGGCGCCTATCGTTAGCTCCCTTAGAAATCATTGCTTTTAAGTCCCATGGAAAACATATCAATTTTTCCTGAAGTGATGGATTCCCTTCAAAACCAACAGGGGAAAAACTGTACAAAGCACAGCGGAGCGGCTAGGTGCCGAGTTTCCTTTGGCTTCCATTGCCACCAAGCCCCAAAGCGGGTGAGCCTCAGGCGGCAGGATCCTGAACCGAAAAGGGCTGGATGTTGGAAGCCGAGCTTCTGGAAAGCGGAAGCCCTCTACAACTTGGACAACGGGCTTCCATTAGACTTATACTTTATTCCCCTGTTGGTTTTAAAGGGAATCCGTTACTTCTGGAAATGTTGTATGTCTTCCATGGGACTTAAAAGCAATTCTAAGGGAGCCAACTAAGTACACACCTGACTGTTCTCTGATTTCATTTGACTTTAAAGTCCACCAGAACCCGCACGGGAAGTTATTCTGCCCATATGGCGAGCGATTCCACCGCTTCGGGGGGAAACCGAACTCACTGTGATGTCGGTCCAGTTCTTGCGCATCCAAAGCTTAAATCAAGGATTTGGCATTGCTGCTTGAAATGTTTCCACGAATACATCTGTCTGTGGGTCAAAAATAGCTACCCGAAATGGAACTCTTTGTAAATGGAAACGTGGACTAAAACCTGTGGTGCCCTGGTGGTTGAATTTTGACCCATACCCATCTGGCTCTTCCAAGAGAACGGGCCGAGCCTCTCTCCGAGCTTCTTCCGGGGCCCTGGGCGCTTCGGATCGGACCGCCACCGCGGCGCTTCCAGGCTGCCAAGATGATGGGCGCCAAGGCGGGCAGTGGAAAGCAGGGGTTCAACCTGAGGCGTCAACCCGATTCAGCCGATTTTTCAGCAAAAGAACAAAAAAGGAGTTTTTCGGCATCAAGAAGTTTGAAATGCTATTCCCCAAGGTCTTGTATTTTTTGTTCAATGGAAATGGAGCATGGCGTTTATAGAAGCAAGTGGTCGACAGTTTTGGGTAGAACCAAAAACAAATCCCCCTTTCTAGGAGTCATTTGGTGAGTGTGCACCCTGTCATCTCCAGTTCTACTGTCGATGAAAGGATTTTGAGCTTGGCGACACCCCAAACACTTGACTTTTGGTTCTGACATGAATCAGGTAGTAGAACCCCCTACTCCCATTCGCAAGCGAGATCGAAGCCCCCCGAAGAGTGACCCCGACCCCGATCCATGTTCTTCCTGGGTGAAACAGTGTCTCTCACGGGATTTGGTGTGCCCCATGTCCCGAACCCCAAACTAAGCATAGACTACGACCGAACTTTACACTTCACGATCCATCAAGGTCCAGGATTGCAACCTTCGAATCAGTTTTGTGTGTCCGTTTTGGAGGAAGCAAAGGTGGTCACTTTGCCCACAAGTCGCACGGAACCCTCCTTTTTGAACCATTTTGAACCATTGAGGTCGACCGTCGACCCCTCTAGTTGTCCAACTTATGAAAAGAAGACTCGCCCTGATGCAGGGTTCTAAAATATCCGCAGATGCCCCTAAAAAAGTTGGCATCCTGCTTGGTGGCAAAGGTTATCGCTAAGATTGGGACAACGGGGCTTAATATTGTGGATGGACAAAATCCTGCACCACTTTAAAACCAAGATTGAAAGCATAACGTTTTGCAGGCCAATCGAATCATTCGAGGGTTTTTGAACGGTGGTGCGAAATGGATTTCGCAACCATCCACAGTATAACCATCACCGTTTACCTTGGAAGGTGGGAGGCTGAATATGTTGCCATCGAACGGAGAGGGCTCTACCCTCGGTTCGCAGGTGTCCTTCCCCTCTTGGGTCACGCTGTGCACATGGTGGCGGGTTCCATGATTTTGTTCTGGGCCGAAGGAGACATTTGAATCGAGGGTGTCCTTTTTTCGTGCTCTTTTTCGGAAATCAACCAAGAATACCCCACAGAATAGCTCTCCTGATATTTGCGGTTTCTTGGCGGAGGATACACCCCTGGGTTTTCGTCTACCTTGCGGTCAAACATGTTCTTGGTGGCTCCCAGCCATCCGGTTCCTTAGCTTTTTAGATTCTTTTAGTGTTTAGTGGTAGTTTCCGAATTTTAACCCACTAAAAGTTAAGCTCACTTTTAGCGGGGGATCTGAGGGCAGCTTAGTTAAACCGATGTGGATGTTTTTCGTTCTCGGAAATCAACCAGGTTACCCCAAAGAATAGCCTTTGCGGAGGATAGTTACACCCCTGGGTTTTCCTCTACCTTGTGTCCTCAAACATGTTCGACGTTTTTCGCCGAGGACGTGGAGGCGGGGATGCACATGGACGAGCTGGAGATCAACGACTATCCGCAGATCGCGCGGCAGAAGATTACCCACCGGGACCGAAGCCCGGGGGGCGGCGGGTCCCCGGGTCCCCTAAGGCACAAAGCAGGCGGTGCAATCAATCTGGGCATTCTCTTTGGCGATGTTTCCCTTTTTCTTCCGGGGAGGTTTGGTGATATGAAGTTTTCTTTGTTTTGTCATTTTGTTGTTATTTTCATTTTCATAAGAGGCTTTTCCAGGGCGGTTTGCGACATGAAGTTTTTTCTTCTTCAATTTCTGCAGGCAGGGAACCCGTTTTTTTTTTTTACATGTCTGAGCAGGTGGCCAAGACCCTGGCTTCCGAGATAAAAACGCCGGTGATCACCTGGTGGCGCAAAGCCTAGGGCCGTCCGGTTCCAGAAGGCTGTTTGGATCTGTTTAGTTGGTTTAGTGGTTGGAACCGTTTCCGAATTCAACCCACCAAAAGTTGGCAAAACTTTTAGTAGACCTTTTTTTAGACCTTTTTAGTTGGTTTAGTGGTTGGATTTCCATTTGGCCCACTAAAAGAGAAGCTTTTCAGGCGGGGAACCCATGCAGTCAGTGGATTCCGCAAAAGGTCGACCTCTCAGTTTGAGTCCTCACAAATGGACCTCGATTCTTCTGGCTTGCGAAACTGACGGCGGCCTTTCGCCGCCCCCCATGCTTTATCCAGCGATTCCCAAACGGCCAACTCACTTCTCCAGAAGACACAACTGTGACTAGGTCCCCCAGTAGTGCCCTTGTTAACCCCTTTTTTTTGGGGAGGGTTTCCCTACTAACTTGGTGGCTACCAGCCAGCCCCTTAGCGTTCTAGCCTTTTAGTGTTCAGTGGTAGTTTCCACGGGATCTGAGGGCAGCCCAGATCAAAGGGTACCCCTATTCTACCCTCTCTACTGGAGGACCTAGAGACCATAAGCCGCCGTCGGATTCCTTTTGGTCGCCGCAAGCATCGAAGCGAAGCGCCAGGATCCGCTGGTGGCCATCGAGGAGATGACCGGCTGCAAGCTCCAGGCGCCTCGGCGGACTCGGCCCTGGGCGGAAGTGGATGATGCCCTTCCCCCATATGGCTGTGGCTCAAAAGAATGTGCCCAAAAGGCTCACTTGGTAAATGGAACCAAAGACTAAAACCCGCGCAAACCCTAGCTCTTGAATTTTGAGCCACACCCATCTTGGCGCTAGGTCCCCCCAACAAAGGCTGCCCTTTAACCCTTTCTTTTTTGGGAGAGGGTTTCCCTAATAAAATAGAAAAGGAACCTTCCGCTTGTTGAACAAATCTTGGTGGTGAAGCCAGCCATCCGGTTCAACTTAGCTTTTTAGATCCTTTTAGTTGGTTTAGTGGTAGTTTCCGAATTTTACCCACTAAAAGTTAGTCACTTTTCGTGGGGGATCTGAGGGCTTCCCCCAGTTTTGGGATCTGCCCGGACCGTCTCTCGGGGGTATGACTCTTCAAACGGGAGTCACGACTCAAAATGAGGCCCAGGAGGGGCGTTCACTGGAGCTTCCAACTGGAGGGGCGGGTGAACTCGTCTGAACTGCGGTTGGACAGAGGGGTGTGACACGCCCCAGTTCGCGTATTTTAACGAATTGCGCGTTGCAGCAGGGTGTTGCGACTTTCTCTGTACAAATAGAGAGGTCGACCTGAATGGCGCGAGCAGATGGCACAAATCCCTCTGTGTGGAAAGAGAATGACAAAGCCAAAAGTTCGAAGGCTGCGGGCAATTCGTTTTGGGGCTTGGGGGTTCTCTGTGGGCAAACTGGGTCTGCGGGCACAACTGGACTGGGGACTTCCGATTTTCAGGGAGTCAGATTGCTTGGCGCTTTTTTTGTTGGCGGAACGCCCTAGTTCAAGGAGTTCACTGGGACAAGCACTTTGCTGCCAGAACATCCTACAGATGAAGGTTAGTAACGGATACTCCCAACCATAAATAGCTGCGGACATCCGCCCTCTTAATTCTTTACATGGTTCTTGGTAGACCATTTTAGTACCGGGTTTTGATTGTGACTCATTGGCTGAAATGCATATATGTCTTGTGTTCCCGCGTTGGTTTTAAAGGGAATCAGTCACATATTTTTCCAGTGACAGCAGATAGCTTGATTTTCCATGTTGGTTTAGCCATCCCCTTTGCTTACCCAGATCTAGGGAATTGTGTCATCTACGGTCACCTTGGTGTACAGGGCTGTACCCGAAGTCACGTGGGTGTTTATGTGTGTTTGTGACTCGTGACGGTATTTGTTTGGGTTGGTTGAAAGGAAACGACGAGTTGAGAGCCAAACGCCAGCGACATCTCCAAATCAATCCAAAGCTCTGGGAACTTTCTTGGTGTTTCTCTAATTTGGATCAGCTCATCCTTTCCTTAACTGGTTTGGATTTGTTTGGATTTGAACCCTTGGTTCTCGAGGGAAAATGAGACTTTCCGGAGCGCTTCCAAGCCACTGAGCTCCAACCCACCCCAGCTTGGAAAGGTTAGGGACATTGCTTCTTGGTGCGAGAGATGCAGGGGCCCTGAGAAATGGAATGACTCCTACAAAACATCCGACTGGTGGTTTCCTTGATTCGGGGACCCCGAAGCGGTTCATTCCATTTTTTGATTCCCTACTCGCAGCATCAACTTGGTGGCTCCCAGCCGTCCGGTTCCTTAGCTTCTTAGCCTCTTAGTGTTTGGTAGTAGTTTCCGAATTTCACCCACTAAAAGTTCTCAACTTGACAACGGGCAGCCCAGTCAAGTGACGGACCAAAAAGGTTGAACACCGCGCCCTCCACTTCCGCCCGACCAACGAAACGCGAGGTGCGGGGCCAGCACTTCACCTCGGCCAGGCAAATGCCGGAAGGCCGGGCGGGGGATTCTTAGGGATCTTCGAGAATTCGAATGGGTATCAAGCAATTTGACCTTAAAGCAGCGATAAACCAGACTCCTTGCAGAATCGGAGAATGTTTGAAATGAATTAGCCCCTGACGTTTGGAGCTATTAGACGACTTGGAAGCTGCCAAGCTTATGGAAAGCCCTCCCCACTGCCTGACAGCATTTGACCCAGGGGGGGGGGGGGGGTTGGGTCGGGGTCCTCGTTGGCCTCGTGGGAAACCAACCGAGGGCCTTGGATTCTCTTAAAATGTGTGCGTCGTTTTTTTGAGGCTACCCCCCTTTTTGGGGTGGGTGTCTTAACCTAGTAGGGAGAACCACTTTTGCCGTTGTTTTCCTTTGGGGGGGGGCCTAAAAAAAGCACACCCAAATGAGCACGGGAGAAAAAGTCGGAACCAGCTACTTCCATTTGCTTGAAGGAGATGTTGTTTCATGTTCTCCTGGTTTTAAAGGGAAGCTATCACTACGGGAAATCTTTGCTCATTTTTGCAGGGGACTTGAGCAAATGGAGGGCTAGAGACAAGGTGAACCAAAGTGCGAACGGTTCACTCTGGTGAAACCCTTTGGTGTTGCGGCGGGTTCGACCTCTATTTGTCTTGAAATTGACCCCCGTCTCAACTTGCGGGTGGTTTCCCTGGCACCGAAAAGGGGCAATCAGATTTGGCCGGAAAGGGGTCGAACCGGGAATTGGTGTCCTTTGATTAGCTGGGTTACAACCCGAGGAAAATGCCATTTGCCGCTGTGATTGAACATTCGGGAAAGGCTTCTGAGTCGCATTTTGTAGCTCTCAAGATCGAATTGCCAGACTGCACCTTTTCACCTTTCCGCCTTAATTTTCCGTTTCAACCAGCAACAAGTCAACAAAATGGGCAGTTTTCCTGTGAGCTCCTTTATAGCCATGTGAAAAAAGCAGACACATATACACACACACACACCTAAGTTGTTGGGTTTGCCTTCTGTTCCAACCATATTTTGATTGCGACATGTCCGGCTCTTGCCAGGTGGAAAGAAGCTTTTCGTGGAGATCGTCGGCCAGCCTGGCGGTGCTTTGACTGGCCTTTTCATGCATGAGGTATATTGCCAGCGGCGAAGCATTGAAAATAGCTCCGCTGTTCTTGGCATTTTGTTTTCCGGTTCTGTTCAATTTTAGTCGGGGGCTGCAAAACACATTTTTTGCCACCATACCAAGGGTTGTGAAGATCGGGTTGTGGGGGTACTGTTCCCCCAAAGTGCGTCATGACCATAGCGCAATTTTCGCTTAATGTTTGCCCTGGATCCCCGGCTTGGTATCGCCTTTCCTTTGTTGACCCCCCCCCCCCATTTGGCGGTTTGCTTCCCGGGCGGCCTGCCAAGAGTCGCTTTACAAGCAGTGACACGCTGAGTAGACATGGGCTCTCCAAATCCGGGAAAAGCTCATGTTTTATGTGGGTATGTGTTAAAATACAGAGAGCGAGGGAGAGAGACCCCCCAAAATGGCGGTCTTTATTGAGACCGGGTGTTGGTGGGGATGTGATTTTAACATGAAACATGCTGCAAGACACTGTGTTTTATGGTAAAACTACATCCCAGGGAGCATCCTTTCTGTTTGGTTTTTGGTTCCCTTCAAGCCAACCTCAAAAGGGTAGAGAGCCTGAAACAAATACACCACATGTCACCCTGATGGGATGGGGACTGTTTGACCGTTGCCCACTTGAGGGGGCTGGCTTGGCACTCATCGGTTTCGCGGTTCTCCTGCAAGCAAACAACCATATGTTTGCTTACTAAAATAGACGACAGCAAAAACAGGTTGGTACCCTTATTCTATCCTCTTTACTGGAGGACCTAGCTTCTGTTTTCCTTCGAAGCCTCAAAAAGGACGAGCCCACAGCCACGAAGACCGAAACACGCCAGAACCCGTGGCAGCATGGCAGGCCCCACGCAGGTGGCGGTGTCCAAGGCCAAGCACGAGATCTTCAAGATGATGGAGGCTCCGCTTTGCTCGCGCCTGGCGAGCAAGCGCTCGCTTGCATGCGCGAACAGAAACCTATCGCAAGTAGATAGACCCCCGTGACCTCCAGTGGGCTTCCCTTTTTTCCTTCGTTTCCTCTGAAGCGTGTGGTTTCACCCTTTGGCCATGGGAGTTTTATTTGGCCACACCCGGCGGAATCCCCAAAGGCTCCGCTGTGGGCAGCCAAATGGAAGGGGATTCATCAGGAAGCGATCGCCAGCCTCTTTCAAAAGTGGGCCCTTTTCAAGGGAGAAGAGTATGCATTTGACCAAGCAAACCGGGTGATTCTCTTTCCACTTGGAAGGACTGCTACTTGTTGCGAGTCACATGTGACCCTTGAGCACTGAAGTCGAACCAGCCATTGGTGGAGGCGATCGGCAATGCCCAGAAGACATACATGCATACACGCATACGTACGTACATCCATGCATGCATGCATGCATGCATGCATGCATGCATGCAGACAGACAGACAGACAGACAGACAGACAGACAGACAGACAGACAGACAGACGGGCAGCATGTGTTGTATTGCATTGCATACCATACCATGCCATACCATGCCATACCATGCCATACCATGCCATGCCATGCCATATCATAGCATACTGACCACCACCATTACCAGTACGGTTCCATATCATACATACGCTCACGTGCAGAATGATGGTTCCGGTGACCATGACACCCTTTCTCCTGCAGAGATCTACACACCAGACGAGACATTTGTGCCCAATTGAAGCACGCACACGTTGCTTTTGGAGGAGTTCTGTTTCAGGCTGGCTTGAATTCATGGAACTCTCCCTTTTGCAGGACCGGGGAGCCTTGACAAAGACGGATCGAGCAAGACATTCCCCCAATCCGAACTATTGTACAGAGAGGGGCTTAAGGCATTTGCGCGTCATATTTTCTGAACCAGATCCTCAACTGTGTCGTCAAACTGAGTTCCCAAACGATACATCCCAAAATCGCCTGTTTCACAAGAGGATCCCCCGAATCAGCATGTGATATTCAACTGTGGCCAGACCAAGCTTACCCTCTTAACTTGTGGCCGCTCTGGTTTTTAGTATTCTTTCATGTCCCCACCAGCCGACCTTTTGGCGACGAGAGTTTTTCCGTTTGGCTTTCAGGGATCCAATGAGCAGGACATGGCTATTTTACGACAAACCAGCGTGCTGAACAAGTTCGAGGTGTACCATCACTAGAAAACCTCTTGCCTGATGAAATCTGAAGAAACGCCATCCAGACGAAACCTATATTGAAAGGAACCCTGTTTAAAACACAACCATTCTTTTTGTTGGGGAGGAGGGCCTATGCACAGGTCCCTACAATTTCTCTTTTGGTGGTTTCAAGGTATCACGGGTTTTCCTTTAAAACCACCTGAACAACAGGATCCGTCCACCGCCTACCAAACGCAAAAACGCGCTTGGCGCGTTTTTTCAGCGCGCCTTTTCAGCTCAAACCGCAGGCCCTGGCCATCCGCACCCTGAACATCCCCGGCATGACCCGGGCCATCGGGGGCGCCCCCGGAAAGCTGGCGGGCCCAGCGCAAACTGCGAGCTAAAACCCAGCATGGGATGAGCTCAGCTTCCATTGGCTGAAAGGGATCCTTTTTTTTCTTTCTTCGAGACGCCTTACGCACATGGAGGTAGTTTCCCCTGGTCAAATGATTGTTTTGCATCAGAGGAGATTTTTTTTTTTTGGGGGGAGCTGACGTGTTTTTTTGTTTTTACCATGGGCTTCTGTTTTTTTTTAAGGAAGCACCATCCAACAGGGGGTCCAGCTTTTGGAGAGACTTCCATTGGCTGAAATGAATCTGTTTTATTCCCCTGGTCTTAAAGGGAATCGACTCGAGCCAGGTTTTTTCCAGAGGCCTTACGCACATGGTAGTTTGGAACATGTTTTGACTGCTCAAAAGGAGGCTCAAAGAAAAGCCTTGGAAGTTTTCAGGTTGGAATGATCATTTGCTTCTCACATCCTGGCATGCGCCAAGATGCCAAGACCGCCGTTTGGGATACCGTTCGACCATTGAAGGCCGACGTGACACCCGGCTGGCTGAGAAAAGCTTGGTGGCTCCCAGCCTTCCGCTTCCTCAGCCTCTTAGCCGTTTTGGCCTTTTTCGGTGTTTGGTGGTAGCTTCCGAATTCAACCCTCGCTTTTCGCGGGGGGATCTGAAAACGGGCAGCCCAGATGAAAAACATCCAGTGTGCTCAATCAACCACAGGAGCCCCGGAGCTTCGACGGAGCTTTCTCATTTTAGGAAGGCATCCGTCTCGAGGGATCTGCGGGGGACGTTTGGTGCCGCGTAACCGCGTTTGTTTTTTTTTTGTTCCCCGTTCTTGGCTTGAACCTGGAGTCACTTCTGTCACCCAGCACCTTCCAATGGAAGCACGTGCGGAGTCTCCTTTTGGGGGGCAACTATATGGGTGTGGGTGAAATTTAAGTCACCAGGGGACCACAGATATTCGTCCTTGTTTTCATTTACCAGGGTTTAATTTGGGGATTGTCCTATTTTGGACCCACACGATGGTTTCGGGAAACCAAAAGGACACCAGTCATATAAGCCTTCCGTTTGCATCAGGACGACAAGGCATCGTTGTACACATGTAGTTGTTGATATGATACATTAACCTAGTTTTGTTTTTGTTTGTGGGTTGGTTGTTTTGTTCTCTTTGTATTTGTTTATTTCTGTATATTTTGGTTGCTTCCAGCCATCCCCTTAGCTTTTTAGATCTTTTCAGTTGGTTTAGTGGTTGGATGTCCGAATTTAACCCACCAAACATTCGCAAACTTGAACCGGGGACGGAAAACGACCGCCCACACGCTCCTTGCCAGTGAGCCGCAGGATTGGCACCGCAAAAGCGGTGCAAGATAGGGTCCGTGATTCAAGTGGCCCCCCCCCCCGTTTCTGAGTCAAGAGATTCGGAGAAGATCCTTTTTGAGGATCCTTTTCGAGGGGTGTGTCTGTGTGTCTATGAGTCTATATATATATATGTTGTATATATATATATATGTGTTATATATAGACATTATATATACATATTCGCGTTTGATTTTCAACCAACTCGCCTTTGCCCATCTTGGTCCGCCAAGGTACGATCCTTTTACTGGGAAGTGAGAGCGCGGTCTGGATTCTTCGTGCATCTCGTAGCTCCCTTCTGGCCGGCTCGCTGCAAGAAGCGAAGAAAACTGAGATTTGGAACTCTTTCGAAGGTGCAAAAGATAAGTTAGATCGTGTTCTTAGGATATTTCAGCATCACCCGAAAAGTTTCCTGGCAAGGTTTAGCTTTTTTGCACGGTTTTGCGCTGAAAAAATGCTATTAGTCCAGTGCCTACGTAAATGTAGGCACTGGACTAATAGCTCGTTTTGCACGGTTTTGGGCTGCAAAATGCTATTCTTCCAGGGCCTACATTGATAGAAGAATAGTTTTCCTTCGCCGTACGAGTCAAAATGCGTGTATATAAACAAGCATGGAGGTAGTCACCGCCGGAGCCCAGGATGGTTTTCGGTCGAAAGCGGCTGCTTGCGTATGTCGGATACGGGTGTTGGCTGGTGTTTTTGACATAATGGACATAATGAAGTAACACTCGGAAAGTTTGCGGGAGCTTCCATTTGCTTAAGAATATGTTTCCCTTGTTGGTTTTAAAGGTAATCTATCACTACTGGACATATCTCCGTTTTTTCCAGGGGGCTTAAGCAAATGGAAGGGAGAAGTTGGCGTATGAAGTTTTCTTCACCGCGAGATCTCTTCGACTCAGCGCCGGTGCATGCCATGCAGGCGGCATGTAAGGGCCCTTTCTGGCAAGTGGGTGCAGGAAGTGAAGCTTGTAGCCACCCTGCTTGAACGGCCGGCCGTACGCACAGGACACTGCAAAGAAATTAGGTTGCGCTGTGGTGCGCTGTTCCCTCAGATGAGGAGTGTCACCTCGGACAGACTTAGTGCTGCGCCAGCAACTCCTGAGCGCCCAATTTGGCGTCGGTCAGCCAATGGAACCGGGAAAAAGGTCAGCTGTCATTCCACTTTGACTAGAATGCTCAAGGGGTTGGCACCAAACTTCAGACCAGCATCCGAACATGTTGTGCATGCGTGTGAGTAGGTGTTGGTGTGGTTGTGGGCGTGGCTGCGGGTGTGGGTGTGGGTGTGTGTGCGTGTAGGTGTAGGTGTGGCTGCGGCTGTGGCTGTGGGTGTGGCTGTGCGTGTATATGGCTGTGGGTCAAAACCAATGGTACCATTTGGGGGTAGGTGCACCACCCATTTTAGTCTATTTTAGTGGGGATTGGGATGTTCACTGGGGGTACGGGATTTTGCCCATGGCCATATAGTTGTAGGTGTGGGTGTGGCTGCAGCTGCGGCTCTGCGTCTGTTTGTGTCTCAAAATGGATTGGAGCCCCCCCAAAGATGTCTCTTCCAAATAGCCCTTTGAAGCAACCCCAAAGTGGGTACCCTCAAAGGGCGGACAGGCAAAGGTTGACAGAATGGAAGAAAGCGAGTTGCCCATCAGAAAGAACATCGTGTGCCAAGGTGTCCATTGCCACCCCGGCTTCTCTCCCGACATTCAGGGTTCCCGAACATCCCCAAAGGCCAACTCACTAAACCTGGCGGTTCAAAGCAGCCGTCCCCTGTTTTTTCTTCTTTTTTTAAAACTCTTCACTTAGTTTTGAGGGGGGGGTTCTCCACTACACCACTGACAGTTCTCAACTTTTGGCAGGGGATCAGTTTGGACAGCCCAGTTTAAAGGGCCCTAGGCAATTTTTATAACCGCACGCGGAGTTATTGTGTCCCACCCCCGGCAGCAGTTGGGTCTCAACCAGGGGCGCATTTTTTTATGTTGATTTGTTTTTGAAAAAGGAGCAACCGCACCACACACGGGCGCGTTTGTTTTGAAGGGGCAGCTTTTTCCCATATGTTGGTTCCCTTTCGGTGTTCCCAAATTTTTATCTTCAGCCGCCTTTTCCATGGAGGTGGCCCCTGGCATTCTGTTTAATGTGCATCTCTTCGCTTCTGGGAAGACTGCAGAAATGCGGATTGAAAAACCACCCCCCTTGCGTCTTATGTCCTCATTGAACCTTAGGATTCCGGATCCCTGTATGAATCCACTAGATTGAGTACCCCACACGCGAACCCCACATTGACCATTTTGGGAGAAGTCCCCCATTTAGCATGGACCTGTTTGTTGGGCTTGGTGTTAGTTTACTGGGGGACGGTTTAGGTAGCCAGGAATCCTTACCTCTAGGTTTTGCATGATGGGGGAACCCAGGGTTACCTATTGTAGTGGCTTGCTTGCAAGCACTGGGGGAGTACTCCTGGGTCAAGATGAAGGATTCCAATTGGAACTTCTGAGCTGCTCTGCTCGAGAGTTAGAACCCCGTGGTCTCGTCCCCGCAAGGCGGCTTGCGGGTTGGACCAAGTCGAGGTGTCGATGCGAACTCGAAACCACGGAAAAGCCAAACGAAGCCCACAGGAAGCCAGAAGACCAAAGCAGGCAGACTTGGTGCCAGGGGAATGAAGTATCAACCATTTCTTGTGGTTAGGGAATGAAGGACTTTCTTAACCATGTCTTGTGGTGTCCTTTTAAGGGGATTCATTGGGCTCATTCCACATTTTCGGAGCACCTGCAAGAGGCACTCAGTGCAACTTTGCGTCCGAAGCTGAGGCCATTGAGCCATGAGCTTTGTGTGGGACGGGAACTCGATGCTGGGTGAAGCTGCCTCATCCCCCACTGGGCGAGCTTGTGACGAAGCATCAGTTGGGTAAACCGACCAAAGTCTGGACGCCCGATCCACGCGTTTCGAACGGTCAAGTGGTAGCCCAACTGGCGGAAGCAAGAAGCCCCAGGGGCCAGACAGGTTGGGATCGCCGATGTTTGATTCTTATGTGACCCCTGCTTCCTTTGCTGAAACGATCCTTTGTGATTTTCCCCTGCTTTTTTTCTCCAGGGAATCTGTCACTACTGGACATATTCATATCTTTTTCAGGGACTTAAGCAAACGGAAGCCTGTAGCAGATTTTGAGAACTCCCTTGTTGCAGTTGCCTGGCTGCCGAAAAAAGCGTTTCAGTCGAAAGAAGCTTTGTGATCCTGGCTCAGGGCCCGCCCAAAGCAAATCCAACCCCTTTTGGCGAAGGGACACCCTTCTGAGGCGTGGGATGTCCAGGGAAGCCAAGAATAAAGACGGGTGTGTCTTTTTGCAGGGGACCCACCACCAAAAACGGTGATTCTCTTTTGGCCAACAAAAAGGGGTACCCCCCCAAAAAAAGGTTACATGGTTTCCCTTGGTCCCTTCACAACCCCAGAGAGAAGTAGCCGCACTGCGAAGTAGCGGTCCTCCTTTTGAGCGCCAAAGTCTCCAGACCCGCAACCCCCAGAGCACCACATCTTGATTCCAGGGAGTTGGTCGGCTTCCGTCTTGGGGGCCACTCAGAGGAATCTCTCGTCTTTTGATGGCTAAAAAAGGTCCCCCGGCTAGAGACCCTTTCTCACACCTTTTTGGGTTGGGAGGGCTCCCCTACTAAGAAAAAAGGGTACACATATTCTAACCTCTATACTGGAGGACCTAGATGGCA